GTATACACCTGATGATGGCCGATAGAGGCCGAAACATGTAGTGTAGAAAAGAACAAGATCAAAGACATATAATATATATTGTTTGCACTTGGGACGGAGTGTGTATCATTTATCGTATAGAGTGCAACAGGATGCTGAGATATAATATTGTAAGAATGCTTTTTCTGGCCAAAAACACTGTGTATATGATATTACGAGTTGAAATGGTCTGTTTGAATTTTTTTTTCCTTGGCGATGATGTGTCCCTCCATTCCATGGCTTGCTACATCGATTCATGGGTGACATGCAACACCCATGTCTCATCCCCTGTGACTATGTGGCTCAAGAAGTCATTGCCTTGCTCACCATATGTCTGAAAGGTCAACATACTGGCTTGCCATTTCATTTTGTGCTCATCCATAAGCATATTCGGCACACAGCGTGAATACCATTTCCAAAAACGAAGTTTGTCAGACACAATTTTGTGAAGAAGTGACCATGAAATTTGTGGAAAATGCAGGGAAAGTGACGAAATGATGAAGCGTCTGTTCTCTTGAATCTTCTCTTCCACTGCATGTACTCGTACCAAATCTTCATTAACCACAGATGGTTGGCTGCTTCAGGGATCATCACACACATTTTGTGTCCTTTATTGAAATGTCTCACCCATCTCCTTACCATCGAATCACTCACGGCATGTTCTCCACACACCTCACAAAGTTGACGATGATGAATGTCAGCCAGTTTCAAGTTTCTTGCATTCAAGAAACAGATTACACACCGCATTTCACGTGCAGTGGGCTTCTCGATTTTCTTGAACATTGTAATCACACACAATGTGTAAACGCGATTTGATTGTCTGCAAATGGTGACCGTACCTTCCTAAAGGACCAACAAATTCTGCACGCATGCACATCATAGTGACTGGAATGCTGCAAAGCAATATTTGCAAACCGAACTTCAGAAACACCCATTTAACAATTCTGGATTTTTTTCCGGAGGCATATAAAGAATACTATTTACTCCAAAAGATCTGATATGTCAACCATTTAAGAGACATAATCTATGCTGGAAATGCTTACAAGCACAAGGAACGAGGCTGAATACTGATTTGATATTTGTAACACAACAAGCTGTTCACACATCAAACTTTATTAAACTGTATGAAAATGATACAGAATTTGTGTGCTTTTTTGTATGTAATAAATAATTTTTCTAAAGCTTAGTTTCATTATTTTCTTTAATGAAAATACCAAATTATGCCACTCTTCTATGGAAATCCTGTATTATGACCATAAATTACTATAAATATCTGCCCCTCTGAGAGGGATCACACTTACGTGGAACTCAGAAACATATCTGACAAGTAGAACAGTCGAGCCTTATATTTTGTATGAAATATCTCTGGCTCAAACATGGAATACAGTTTGCCATAGATATTTGGGTATTCCCTGGAACAGAATAAATCATATCTGGTGAAAACAAATCTCTGACATAATGGTTTTATTTGTAACAATAACTGGTTATTATCGTAAGAAATGCGAGTTATAAACAGGAATCATGAAGTCTATTTTCCTACTGCACAGATTCCTAGTCCTACAGAACTTTTGTTATTACTGTCATTATCCCCCCCTCAAGAACCTCTTATTCAAGTACACATTCAGTCTACATTTGATTTGTCAGACAGAAACTCAAAGTTCTACACTTTCAGTTATGTTTGTAATTCTCTACTTAAAAACAACATTTAATGCGTAATCCATATGCATGATTATTATCTAAATCCATACCATGTTCCATTAACATTATCAAACCAAAGGCTAAATAAAATTCTCATACAGTTATCACATTTATATTCTACAAGAAAATACTGTAACCTGTAGAGGAGCCATTTCTAGGTAACAATCGCAAACAAGCAGGTTCTAGCAGCAACAACAGCGGTACTGTTGGAAATGGTGTTTTCTATAGTGGTCTGTGCTGAGGGGCTATAAAGAAGACAACTGGAGTAAGAATATGCAGTTGGAAGGCAGCTGCCATTCTGCGAGGACTTGACCATGGAAGCAGAAGATTAGCCATCGTCAGAAGCCGTTACCACGAGACGTCTAGTGGAGATTGTAACAGACTAAGAACACTAATCTATGTGCTCTAGTGATCTGTAAAGTGTGGAAATTAGTGATGGAACTAAAATTAAGTGTAATTACGACTTGTGTGTTTGCAAATTTGTTGAAGTTCTACTACAATACATCATTTCAGAACCCTAAATTAAGGTCATTAGCATCACTCCACAAATTGAAATGTATGGCATAATGTTCATACCAATTGGAAAACTGATTCAAGAAGACATACAATGTGATCAATGTAATCTCATAAGCACACTTTCTCCCCTGAAGCAAGGAAAGTATGAGAAAAGGTAAAACTTGCATAAGAAGCAACACATAAATGCAGTATACAACTTTACAGATGTTCTATACTGTTGCACTGAGATACCACTATGACAACATAATGAAATGGGCATTTAATGGTGACTACAGGATGGCCCAAGTCAGTTGACTGCTTAGTAAAATGTACATTAAAAGTAGATTAGAAATTTCCTTATTACTTACTGAATTTACAAAAATTGTTTGAAGTGAAATCTTCCATGTTCAGTACACAACTTGAAATGCTGTGCTACCATTCTACAAATTCATTCGCAGGTTTAAATCTGAACATTCATGGTAATATGAGAGAATGTTTCAGGTTAATTGACCATTAGGCCACAATGCATATCCACAACATATCACCAGTTGACACAATTGTGAACATGATATTTCTGAAGCACAAAGCTCACTGTTTCAAGAGCCCCATCTGCATCCTCTCAGTCAATGAGTAAGTCCATACAGGTAAAATGTAAAGTTGCCCTGTGCTTAATTAATTAGGCACCATGCCATGGTGGTACAGCTCCACCATTCTTAACCTCAGTACTAGATGATGGTGAGTGGTCTGCTTCACACTCCGACCACTTTACCTCCAAGGAAAGAGCCCCAGTATTCGCTGGATAGGAGGCTTGGGTGGGCCCCAGAGCTGGTCTGAATGCTTTGGAGTAAAGGTAAAATTGTCTCTGTGATTAACTAGTTAGGCACTATGAAATGAAGACATATAGGGGAATGGAGGTATAGCTTCACCCTTCCTGATCTCGGCAGTAGACGAGGTGAGTGGTCAGCTTCATGCCCCCCCCCCAGAAACCTCCGCTGGTACCCACTGTGTAGGAGGCTGGGTGGACCTCAGAGATGATCTGGACAGTGTGAAGAAGACAAAATGTCTTGCAATTACAGGAACAGAACATGGGCTGTCCAGCCTACAGCCAGTCACTATACTGACTGCATTGGATGCACTGGGGTAGAGGAAAATATCTTTCTCCTGCTGGGAATCAAACCCTAGCTGTTCAGCCCACAGCCTGCTGCTATACTGATTGAGATATCCTGTTTCCTCATGGATATTAAGGCACCAGCTACATATATACCAAAAAAACTCCGTGGCCTGTAGTCCACAAGTGACCTATACTGTCAGTGAAGTTAGTGCCAACTTTTGTGGATAGAGGGTGTCATGTGGTCAGCACAATGGATACCCACGGCTGTTAATCTCAGTATTCTAGACTGGTGCTGCTATTTTCTTTAAATAGAACCTCAGTTATCCTCATGAGGCTGAGTGGACCCCATTCCAGATCCGATACTTCTCAGAAAATCTGGTAGCGCTGGGAATCGAACCCAGGACCTCTGGATTTGTAGGTAGAAACTCTGACCACTAGACCACAGAGGCGGTCCTATATATAACACACTTACCTTAAATATGCACTAAAAACTAATGACATCTGAAAAATGAAGCTCTGCATTAAATGCCACTTACAGGTTGTGATTCTTGATAAGGATAAAAATGCCTTGTAACGCCAACAAACTGACAGCTCCACCTAATGGAAGAAACATATCCAGTACTGTCACACAGAATCAGTGTCAAATAATTACATACAAATTTAACAACTGCACTGTAAGTCATGCAATATCACATACAGGCAAGAGACAGCAATTTAAACTTAATACATGGACTGTATTATAGACAGCTAAGTTGCAATCAATGAAATTCTGAATAATGCAATATTCAATTTAGTGCCAATTGTATGATAATAACACATGGTGTTTAATGAAAACCAAAATTCAGTCAATGCAAGGCTAGCGCATGTGCCGCTGCCTATCATAATATTCGAGGTGGTATTGGAAAGTTCCCAGACTGCTACTGTTGCAACTGCCTTGGCGAAAGAAGATGAGAGGGAAGGCCAAGGTCACACTTCCGCAACCCTATTGCATCAACCTGCCACTTGACACTGTGCTGTGAACATGCATTGTTTTCATACTAGTGCTTTTCGACTTCATGTTTCGGTTTGTCTGCAATGGATGGCAAAATCAAGCAGTTTGTCTGCATCAAGTTTTGCATAAAGCTCAGTAAATCCGCTACCGAAACCCTTGAAATGCTTCATAAGGCTTTTGAAGAATATTCTTTATGCTGGACAGCAGTATTTGAATGACATTCATGTTTCAAGGCTGGTCGAGTGACAGTTGAAGACGACGAATGTTCACGGTGACCAAGCACCAGCAAAACAACAGAAAATGTTGAAATTCAAGAACTCTTTCACGAAGACTGTCGCTGAACAATCCATGAGCTTGCAGACACTTTTTGGATCAGTTATGGAGTTTGACAGGAGATCTTTACAGAAAATTTGAACATGCACCGCACTGCTCCTTCATCATGACAACATGCCTGCCCACAGGTCTTTGAAAACCACAGTTTGTGACTAACAATAATGTGGTTATCATTCTACATCCTCCCTAATCACTGGACTTAGTCCCCTGTGATTTTAATTTGTTTCCCAAACTGAAAATGAAAATGAAGGGAATACGTTTTGAAACAGCGTCTGACATCCAAAGGGAACCACAATCAGTACTTGAAAGCACTAAGGAAAATTACTTCAACATTGCTTTTGAAGCATGGAAAAATGATGGGATTGCTGTATACATTCCCAAGGAGACTATTTTGAAGGGGATGGCAGCCAGAATTGAGTAAGTTAAGGCAGGATTTCTTTTTTAACCTAGTCCAGGAACTTTCCAATAGCACCTCGTATGCTGCTTTTCGTGATTTGTTTTAATCGTTTTATGAAGTGCCCTTAACAAAATGGACAAAAGGAAGATTCCTTAAGATAAAAACACTATGAGCGCAGAAACAGAAGAGGCTCGCTACTACATTGGAGCAAAAATTTGATGTGAATGAACGACATGAACATGGTCACAGCAACTTAAAACAGGACGAGATATCAAAATGCCTGCATCTGCGGTATGGAATATTATAAAACATGCAGGGGAAATAAAAGAAAAAGGTATAGTTGCATCAGCTTTTTGTGGTTTTCAAAGAAGTGCTAACAATGACAGAAGTAGAGCTTCTTTTAACTGTAGGGATTGAAGAAAAAAAAAAGAGAAAACAGTTCAGTCTACACTGCTAAAATATTTCAAAACACAATAATGATCATTTTGTCAATGTAACTTTACCTTTAGGAATGATAGTTAGAATTTCTTTTTTATTTTTCTCTCTCTAACTACTGTGACTTTGATAACAAAACATTTAAATTATATTCTATTTATCCTTTATTGTAATATTTCATTAATAAACATATACAGACTTATGTTTATTGCCTATTTCCTTTGAGTTGGAACCAATTACCATATTTTACATATAATTATAACCTTGATTAGTGTGAATTTGAACAATGCAACCACTTCATGGGATTCATTATCTGCACTAATCAAGACCGAGCTGTATTTCATTCATCAATGGCTAGTCTAGTGTATATGTAAATGGAAATGCTGTTTCCCATTTGGGGCCTAAACGCAAACATTCAAAGAGCATATGAAATTTACTGCACACTCTTACCAATATGTACAGTCACCATGGTAGTTAAAACCCTTTTAATTCCAGTGTTATTCCTCCTTTAAATTTTCAGCTGTTACATAACTGTGGCATGTAGACCCACTACTGGCCAATGACCACAAGATAAAGAAATATACAAAAGCCCTTACTGAGTAACAGCTTTACAAACAAACATGTTCCCATGGAAACAACTGAACTACAACAATGAGGGGCCATGATTTCTATGGGGTCCATGCCAAGATGTTATAAGCAGGATAAGTTATGGAACACAGAAGAAGGGGAACACATCCACCATTGGAATCCACTACCAAGCAAGAGCCAGTGAAGATGTGACTGTGGACACTACTTTGTGTGTGTAACAGTGATTTGTAAAGTGTAGTCATAAGTTAAGAGTTTAATAAACCCGATCATCAACCCAAAACACGTCCATAGTCACTAGAATCATGTGACATAATGTAACACTGGCAATGAAGGCAGCCAAACACTGGGACAATGATTTGTACCCCTAGTTTACCAGTTCAGTGTGAAATCATTTCACTTTAAACACTGGAGACTACCACAAAAATGATTGCAGGAATAGGTAGCAGATTGCTTTAGCAACTTACTGGGTGAAGTATTATTTGATGTCAATATCAAGATTATATAGCTTCAGATGATGGAAAAACTTAATTACTAATGAATTTGGGAAGATCTGAAAAGCTTCAGCCATGCCCTAATTGCAATAATTTGCCTGTAGAAACTGAGGAAAACCACAAAAAACTTCAATCAAGATAGTCAGTGTCCAGACTGTGATTTGAACTGAGCACACTGAGAGTGTTACAACTAGACTAGCCTGCTTTGTGTAAAAGTATTATTATTTCATAAAATGCCCAATAAACACAAAGAAGTATTTGAGCGCACATATCTTCTGAGTTATGTTCTTTGCAGCATTTCTTTTTACTTTATGGACATTAATTGCAGTGCACAAGAGCTGGAATATTCCTGTCAAAAAGTGTTTCAAATGGAATTTATACATTTAATGAGCTCTATATTCTTTATTATATAAAACTATGATGTATGTTGTTTCATTTTTCAGGAAATCTGTGTCCCATATAAAGTACGGAACATGGACCAGTAGTGCTGAACAACATGGAAGCTGGGTACGTAACCATTATGCTCCATTTACATTACATAATATCACTCTCACTGCCAAGTAAAATATTTATATTGCTGATGACACATACTACGAATGTACTTGTTAAAGTACATCTGAAAACATTTTGTCACCCGCTGATGAGGTTCTAGGTGCAGATTTCAACATATTGTAACATGTTGCGCAACGGAGAACCCCTCCCTACCCAGCAGCAACACGGCAACTCAGGCCACAGGCGCGTGGCGGTAACGTAGCGCTCCCTCCCTCCCCTCCTCGGTGACGTAACGCGCAACGCTACATACCCGTAATCAACTTCCTACTGTGACGTGGCACGCAACAGGCACCACTGCGGATATATAAGGGAACTGCACAGCAGCTACGAGTTAGTTGTAATGTGGACAGTCGCCGAGTTGAGTTGTACTGTGACAGCCGCCGAGTTAGTTGTAGTGTGGCCATCGCCGAACATAGTTCCGAGCAAGCCTACGAGCGAGTGTGTTATCAACAGTTCTCCAGTCAGCCGACTACCGTTGGAGTATAGCAGCCATCGCGGAAAGAAGAACCGGACGTGCGTGTAATTGTGTAACTGGGAGTGTGTGTGATACAGTGATTCATAGCTCCCCTACTGTATACGTGTAGACTACTGAAGACAGAGTGAGCTGATTTGCGCATAGGGTTATAAAGTGTGAAACCCCGCAACATTGTGATAATTAATTCTAGCCGTTTCTTGTAGATTGTTGAATAAACCAACTAACGATCTCTACGGCGTATTCAGTAACGCTAAACACGTTACAATATTAAGCACTGAAAAATAAGTTAGTCATCCATGTGTATTTCTGTGAAGATTACAATCTTGTTAAATCCGTAACTTCAGAAAACAGCAAATGAGATTACTTAAAAGATTACTGTCTTCTTGGACATGCTGGCTGCATCTTCGTGGTAGCAGAATACCCACCCTGATGATGGAGGCAGCATATTCTTCCAAAACACTGGCAATCTTCTATCAGACTACGGTGTTGCATCCCAGAACGCTATAATCTTCAGTGGCACTTCTGTGCTCTCAGATCTCTCAGAAGTAGATGTATGGTTGTCACTGTGATTAATTAAACACCACCCCATGAAGATGTATGGGAGTGTGAAGGTATAGCTCCACCATTCTTGACCTTGGCACAAGATGAAGGTGAATGGTCAGGCCCCAGAGCCAGTCTGGATTGTATGGAGTAGTGCAAGACCTGCCCTAGCCAGGAATCAAAGCCTGGTCAACCAGTCTGTAGACTGCTGCTATACTGACTGAGCTATCCTGGCTTGTCCAAACCTCACACAGACTAAGTTTCTTGCACTATTTAAATAGGTATAAGATTCTTCCCTAAGCTCAAAAAAAGTGTACTTTTAAGGAACATTCAATAGATTTAGAATACAGTATGTAAAAATGTGTGTACATATGGTGCAAGATAAATGTTTATCAAGATGTATAGCCATAATGTGAAACTTAATGAAATTAAAAGCCTCGTGGTGGTAATAAATGAAAAAAGTCAGTTCTCATAAACTGCTTAACCCCCCCCCCCAAAAAAAAACACAACAAATTCCGTGGTTTTTAGTCTGCAAGCAAACTATTCCGACCTAGTGACTGCTGCTGGTCGGTGAAGTTAGTGCCAAATTTAGTGGATAGGGGGTGTCACATGGTCAGCACAACAGATCCCCAAAGCCATTAATTTCAGTTCTGTAGTCTGGAACTGCTTACCCATGTCCAATGAATCCATGAGATAATCAGTGAGTAACAGTGGTTTATCGAGATGAGGCAATATCCATTCTAGCAGAACGACCAGCAGCTGTTGATGAATTGCTGAAGAATGTTCCCACCGGATAACAACACTCCACACCCTGTTTAGCCATCTACGCAAATGGTCAGAATTTTGGACAAAATCTGGGCCACCTGGAAAACATGAATATACCAAATGGAACTCATACTTGCACGGCAAAGTCAGACTGGCATTCTTGGAACAGTTCTCACACATACCTTCCCTACAACAAAGCAGCGATTCCCGGCTCTCTTCATATCTTATGGTCTCTATATGTATTGGGATTTTGTCCATTAAGCTAAGAAAATTCTTTATGAACACTTCACTGGGCTGTTGCTTGTTCAGTACAACAGTTGGCAGCAGTTTCCAAACATAGTACAGAACATCTTCGTAAGCAGTGAATTCTTGAAACCGTGAAAGTAGGTGTTCTGTACTACGTTCTGAAGAAAGGAGCTCAAGTACAATTGGCTGAAAAATTAAATGGATGTCTTGTCATTTTAAAGTTTTCAATTCAATAATGTTTTAAGCTACAATATCATGGTAATAGACATATTTTGGACATTTTCAACCACACAGCTTTGATTAAAGAAACACAGGGAACCGGTGGTTTAGCAGCAGAGATTAGCTCCACCCAACAGACCTAAATCAACAGCTGTTATATATTCTTCCTCACGACAGAAGAGGAGCCAACTTCTGGAAATATGTTTCTTTAACCAAAATGAGAAACTGGAAGAAGTCCAAAATATGTGTCCATTTATGACACACTTTCCTTACGAATCTTTTAGGCTTAACTTCTAATTTCATATCTTTCTATGTTCAGAAGTTTATTTAAACATTACTTTTCAACCTGATGACCATTCACAGTATTTTACGTTCCGGAAATTAAACAAATATATGGTCGTCATCCTCCTCGAGGACTACTGCCTTATTGTGGAGAGCTATGTTGGGGGGAGCATAAGGTCCTGGTAGAACCAACTCTATCAGATAGGTCGAAGGGTAAGGACCATATGAAGTGTGGTCTGTGGTCTTCCAAACTGGGGATTAGGCATAGGATATACCAACCCACAGCAGAAAAATTTACTGTTAGGAAGCCATGGAGGAGACCAAGACCCACACAGGGTTGTAACACCAATAAAGAAAATACAGTTATTATACAGCAAAACTTGTGCTCTAAAGGTTTTACACACTTTCCTTTTGGCCCAGCCAAATATCTATAACAGTGTGACACTGTATCTGATTTCAAGTTTTCTCAAATTTACATTTTCCCCAAAACTGTACTTCATTTGGTCTTGACAATGGAAATATGCCAAATTTTGTCTATAATGTCCTATTTTCAGAAATATTTAGAGAAATATCAGCAACCACTCATGCTGACAGTATGTTCTGGTAAAACAGGCATATCTTCGCATATTAAAATATTTGAACCTCACATGAAAGAGCCATACAACCTGAGACTGAGAGCTGAAGAAAAGAAGGAACAGATTACACTCGCTGATTTAAGATGTAACAAGGTATGTGGGTTAGTGTATTTGAATCTACATTGTTATTGTGTACAAACACATGCAATTTAAATTACTAAGAAAGTTGTGGCATAAAGCAACATGCATTTTTCCTTACATCAAATCATCTTCCTTTCCCTGACTTTACATTCATTTTAGGTTGTCCAACGAGAAGTGTAATATAAGTTTCAATTCAGTAAGATTTAAAAGTTTGTGGTGATGGTATATTAATTAATACAATGATAGTGATTCTGGACATCATCCATCACTGCGGTTTTCATTTAAAACAGCGTTTCTGGAGATAAGGACTAGCTGTATTGATTGGGCCCAACTGAGTAGGATTTTACCTAATGATGGAGATAGAATCCAGTCTCAAAATATTTTTTAAATAAAAAAAAACACAGGGAGATGGATAATGTCCAAAAAAACAATAACTGTAAAAGTTTCAATGCACACATCATTTTTTAAGAAATTAATTTCTTCTCGCATATGTATAAGTTAGTATGTCTGGAGAATATACAGTGGAAAAATACTCACACGCAGTTTCTGAACTGGAAAATAGTATTCTTCTTTTCCCCTGTAATCAATAGGATACTTCCCTTCTAAACTAATTAGCTTCATCATTGTGGACAAGGCCTGTAATTGCATGGAAGGCTTATGCCTTGACATAACTGAAAGCAGTCTCATGAAAGTGTCTTCGTAACATTCTCGAAGCCATACTTGGTACTTTGTTTCTGCATTTACTTCTGAAAAATTTTAAAACAATAAAACTGAGGGAAAAAATGGGTGAGATATTACTCATTTCAGGTCATCATTGTGGTTCACTGTTGATGCTGATCTTGCTGTTGAGTTTTTGCACTGTGTGGATGTGGGAAATGTTACCAATGGTTTGGACGTATATGTTGCGTCCATCTTCAGGGACAAATAAGTATGCTGATGCCATGGCTCTTAAATCATGCACAATCTTTAAACATATATGCCACTGGACATTTTTCTTGAAAGTACGAAAAATGGATTTATATGAGTAAATAAATCAATATAAGGGCGGTTCAAGATTAGATTTCTTTTTAACTGATAATGAAATTTACATATAAAAATATGCATCACATTTTATACCTACTTTAGAGTATAAAATGTGGTTCAAATATTGAATGACAAAAGAAGCATTTTTGACAAATTCTCCAAATAAAAAGCACTGTGAAAATTCAATGAAAAACACTATTAGTATCTTTAAATAAGTTATCTTTAGCATTCATAGCTCATGTTATTAGCATTTTTAAGCCAGTTGTTTTTCAGCAAATTTATAATCCCAACTCATGTTAAATGAAGCATTGACTTTTCTGTACCAATAGTGACCACTGGCTTTATCTCTGCTAATTTTGATTTCATGGCACCTGCTGTATTGATTTAATAGGTATGGCCACGGGAATCCATTGCACTGACCACGCAAGACCCTCTATCTGCAAAAGTTGGCACTAATTTCGCCAACAGGCGGTGGTCGCTCGGTCAGTACAGTTCGCTTGTGGACTAAAGGCCACAGAGCAAAGCAATGGCTATAAGAATAAAGGGATTAAAACAGAAACAGGGAGAGACAGTGCCTTTCTATCTGTGGCAGTCAATGGCCTGATGAAAGACCCATTTTGTTCACTGCCTCTACTGACTTGGCCTGGGCACTAACCCCAACCTTCCTTCACCCTGTGGGTCTGGGACTGGCAGACCAGAACTTATTGTGATATATCGCTCAACTGCTAGGCAACAAGTTCGATAAACATGTTCCCACAGAGAGAGATTCTTGGTAAACAGCCCACTGCTAGGGAAAGCCTACAACAGCATGCAGTCAACAATCAGATAACTTTTGTTTCTATGCAGCACACTGTCAATACAATTGAGGAAGTGGTGTCTTCTATGTGGTTTGCATATATCCACTGCTGGGCAACTGATGTACTTTGTATAGGTCCACCTCAAGACTACATAAGTAGTCCAGTTGTATATCAGAAGACAGTCAGAGAAAGAGTCATAGAATGAGAACAAGAATGGAGAGAGTCCTCGGCAGTCAAGGAAGAAGGGTTCGGCTGAAGATTGACTGTGCGTGCCTGTAATTTATTGTGATTAAGACAGACTGTAGAATAAGGTGTCAATAAATCCAATGATCCAATTCAGAACTTGTTATTACTAGTTACAGAGTCACAAACACTTGACAATATATATACATGAGACCAATTATTCACTTACTTCCTCTGATCCTGAAAGAGGATATAGCACATTTCTCTGAAATGTCAGCAACACTGCACACCTCCACACAGCATTAACATCCATGAGCAAGATGAACATCAAAGGCACAACAGACCACTGTAGGTCGCGGTGCAAGGGCCAAAAAGGCCCACCCCTTATACATTCATTCATATATTCAGGACAAACATCAAGAAAGTCAATAATTACAGGTAAATTCATGCAGTTTTCAAGGATATCCACACAAAAACATAAAGAAACGAACAATGCATAGGCAAAAGTCCCTTAGTCCCCAGCACCCTCCCATGTCTGAAACTGGTTTCACAATTCTACTAACTTCTATTCCAAAACACAAGGAATAAATGACATACAAATCACTTTCAGGCTACGTACAGGACACTGTCTAAGTTCATGAGGGTCATTTGAAGCTCAATACTGAAAGTTCTGGTTGTTTTCATGGCCTCAATGATAGATGAAAGCATCATCTGACATCAGTAGTCCATCCATTACCTCACTTTTTTGCAACACATTCAAGAATTTGCTGTAAATCACAAGATGAAGAGTATGGACCTTCTGAATTGTAAATTCATATACTTTGGTAGAAGCCCACCAATTTTTCAGAGGACCACACTGACTCCATCTTCAGGGTTTAAAACTGAGGCAAGTCTATGGGCCTGCCACCGCAGAAAATCTGCAGCTTCCTGTAGCCAGTCAAGGGCGACTTGGAACTTTGGCAATTGGGGGTATACAGCATCCCTGTGCACGTGATCAAGCATATGTACAACAGGGAAGCAGCTCAACTGACACCAGGGTTAAGGACCAACAGCAACATATCTGTCTCAACACAGCTTGTTATATGATAAGAAATGTAAACCCAGTGGTGTCTAAAACATTAAAAAGTGTTTATTATTCATACTTCCATTCTGTTATGACATATGGAGTAATGTTTTGGGGTAACTCAACACAAGCTGAAAGAGTTTTTAAGATACAAAAGAGAGTTATAAGAATAATAAAAGGATGTGGTTTCAGAGAGTCATGCAGAGAACTGTTGAAGAATATGAATATATTCCCTTTAAGAAGAACCAATATATACTCTCTTCTGATGTTTGTAAAAAAAAAAAATTGATACAAATAGGGATTGCTATGCTATAAACACTAGACATAATATGGACATACATATGAGCCAGGTAAATTTGGCGAAATATGGTAATGGGGTAACTCACATGGCCATAATGATTTACAGTGCCCTACCTAATAAAATTAAACTAACTTCTAATGATATAAATAAGTTTAAAAACAATTTAAAGGAATTTCTTTATTTAAATTCTTTTTATATACTTGATGAATATTTTAAGAGATAATGATTTTTACAACTATATAAGTGTATAAGATGTTGAGTAATACAATAAATTAGTAATCATCATGAATATGAGATAATCNTGTGTGTGTTGTCCTGACAGCTTGGTCTGTCTGTGTGAGGCCTGAGTATATGTTTTATTGAACTGGGGACGAGTGATGTGTGGTCATCATGAAATTGTAATTTTGTATTTTTATAAATGTAATGTTTTTATATCTTGGATTTGTTATATATGTTTAAGCTATATGACCAAAATATTCTGTTACTTTTGATGGAAACCTTTATCTTAAATTTTAATCAATGATAAATTTGAATGTATTATGCTAGAGAGAAATTGTATTATGATGTAAACATACACTGTCTTATTTTATAAGTCTTCTTGACAATTGCTTAAGAGTATTAGCAAGATAAATTGACACAATTCTGTATCTAAGGCTTTTGCCTACTATAAATGTAATGGAATAAGGAAGAAATAATAATAATAATAATAATAATAATAATAATAACAACTGTCCTGTCAAGTCAGCCATGGCAGGGCACCCCATCCAGCTGCAAGACACTAGCATCCTCTCCATCAAACCCTGTCACATGGACTGTATCATCAAGGTGACTCAGATAGGGCTGTCCCAACAACAGTAAGAATGGCTTCTGACTAAACAATTCATGGAGACCTCTCACCTACTCGCTGAAAGAACAGAGGAAGCCCCTCATAGGGGCACAGACCGCTATTTTCAGGGTATGAAACCTGCCTTTTAAGGGTATCACCCTCCCAGTTTTCTTTAGTTACTTTAGTGCAGAAGCTTCTTCCTTCCCCATTCTGTTTTTTGCCACTCCCTCTTGCTCCTGTATCCTGCCCAGCCCCTTCCCTAGACACTAGAAGCCTCCTTTCAAACACACAGTCCCCAAGTTTGTCAGTAGCCAGGGTACAGTGCCAAGCAAACTTTGGGGACCCAGTCCTCATTCTCCTTAGAGCCGTTACCACTCTCTTCCATGCTTGGCATAAGCTTCTATCCTGAAGATGGAGGCAGCAGGTTCCTCCAAAATGTTGATAATGATCTAGCAGACTACATGGCGTCACATGCCAAAGAAACAGTAATATCCATAATCAGCTGCCCATACATTCTCTGATCTCACAAGTGCACCTCCTTGCTCCTATATACTTTGAGGGTACAAGGAGGCCTTTCATCTACAATAGGATGCAACAAATATACACATGCAACATGTGTTCACAGAAACACACAAATATGGCATAGGGAAGACAGTGAGACAAATGAGGAATAAACAAACTATCACACTGTAAAAATACAAGAAATGTGAGATAACTGGAAGAAGCACAAACATTCTACCTTATTCATATTTTATTATTTATCTTATGGACTTCTGCAAGAGAAATTCTAATTTTATAATTACAGTACCATGTTCACTGGCAGCAGCTGTGAAATCTCTGCTTATTTCCCTTCTTTTTAAAACTTCTGTGAATATCATTTCTAGTGCTAAAATACAGGGCTGTATATTTCCTTCATTCTGAAAAAGAGAAATGAATACAAATGTGAAAATTTTAAACAGCTTCCGTCACCATCAGTATAGGTAACCAAAAAAGAAATGTGGTTTTAGCCCACATGTGAACTATACTGACCGAGTGACTGCCACTTGTCGGCGAAGTTAGTGTCAACTTTTGCGGATAGAGGGTGTCGCATGGTCAGTGCAATGAATCCTCATGGTCGTTAATTTCGGTTTTCTAGACTGGATGCTATTTCCTTGGAATAGCTCCTCAATTATCCTCACGAGGCTGAGTGGACCCGGTTCCAGACCCAGTACTTCACAGAAAATCTGGTAGCACTGGGAATCGAACCCAGACCTCAGGGTCTGTAGCCAAGAACTCTGACCACTAGACCACAGAGGCGGTCTAGGTCACCAACATCCTTAGTTAATTGTTATGGAAATTCCTTTTATGACTTCAATAGTACATATCAAATATCTTTAACACCTTCACTCCCATAAATGAGGTTGGTCATTTACACATGCCATGTCCAACCTATGGCACAGTTCACTTGGTTAGGACTATGCTCTGAATAGGTCAACAGTTTCCTTCTCTGAAGCATTCTGAGCAAGAATTTTCTTCCCCTGTGACAACATGGGAAAGGTTGCTATATTTTTCATTTTCTTCAATATATATATATATATATATAGATCATTTGCTAATCATTTTTTTACTATGAAATGTTGCCAGCTGATAGTGTACTATCAGAAATAGCTTAGCTAGCTGGTAAGCCAGATGCAAAGGTGCCAGCAGTGGCAGTATTAATAACATTTCCATCAGAAATTCGGTGTTTATGTTCAAAGAAGGGGCCGCATCATATCTCAAGTGGTTAGTTGCTGGCTTCCCACCGCAGTGGTCTGTGTTCGATCCCGGGTCTGGTCAAGTGGGATTTGTGGTGGACATAGTGGCGCTGGGGCAGGTTTTCTCCGAGTACTTCAGTTTCCCCTGCCAATCTTCATTCCACCAATTACTCCACAATCACCCTCACCTATCATCTGGGGCTGGTACAAGAGGCCAGAAGTGGCTGCAGTACAAGGGACTTAGTCCCACCCGACTAGCAATAAAAAAAATATGTTAAAAAATTTCTGCATTTTCTATGGAACAGTGGCTCATTGACTTCAAGGGATTCTGACGATGGTATATGCTGTACAGAACTATTATTCCTATTTTGGACTCTATCCATCGTGTGGTATATAGAAGACAAAAAACCCCATCCACCTGAGGACAGAGACAGATCCAGTCTCCGAAACGTTGTGGTTTTTTGTCTACTATACACCAGACGATAGATAGAGTCCAAAATAAGCCTAACAGTTCTGTACAGTGGATCACTGGTTACCAATGAAGAAATAGCCTAAGATGAGCAACGGCACCTGAAATGTTTTTTCTTTAAGTTTCTTATTTACGCTGCTGTCAGTGTTGAGTCTACGAGTGCTGATGATAAGATGATTAATGAATGTGGTTGAATAATTGGCAGGAGAAACCAAAGTACTCACAGAAAACTTGCTGTAGTGCCACCACAAATACTACATGACCTGATCTGGGATCAAATGTGGGCTGCAATGCTGGGAAGCTAACCTGAAGTGTACTGTATATACTGTCACATGCAGGCCCACTGCCAAGTAATAGCCGTCTAAAGAGGTGACAGTACAACAGCTGTTGCTAGGGCACAGCTCTGTGGAAACATAGCTCCCCCGGCAAAGAGAGAACACACAATACTGGAAGAAACGTCTTCTGTGTGGTCTGCACTTTGTAGTTGAGTCAGTTGAGAGTTGCAGTTGCAAGAAGTGAGAAGCTGCAGTTTGGGAACCCAGAGGATGGGTAATGTCCACCATTGGAAGCTGCTACCAAGTAACAGCTAGTGAAGACTGAGAAGACTTTATGTGTGCTGTGGTTACCGTGATCTCTGGAATGTGTAACTCAGCGAGACGGTCATAGTTATTTGCAGTTATGTTCTTTAAGTGTTCAATAAATTTGATCACCAATCCAAACCCTGTCTGTACTCAATCATGTGACAATATCATACATTAAAGAGTGAATAAGAGACTGATTTATGTTCCTGTCTGCACCCCAATGTTTAGAATATTAAGGTGACTTTCTTGAATTATATCAGTAAACTTCTTGTTAATGTAAATAATATACTGAACTCAAGCCAAGAATCAGCATCAAGAACAATGATCAGAACACATATTAATCATATATATATATATATAAAGTTGTCCTTGTGCTTAACTAATTAAGCACTACACCATGGAGTATGGGGCATGAATGTACAGATCCACATTTTCCTGACCTTGGCACTAGTTGGAGGTGAGTGGTCAGCTTCACACCACAGCTGCTTTATCCCGGGGGAAAGAGCACCGGTACCCAATGGATAGAAGATTGGGTGAACCCCAGAGGGGGTCTAGATGATGTGGAAAAATATTCTTTACCCTACTAGGACTTGAACTCCGGCCCCTTGGTTGTCCAGTCCGTAGGCAGTGACTATACTGACTATGCTACAAACACAAAAGTATCCTGAAACTAATTCTGAAGATTTTCATGAAAAAACAAGACATAAAGATTTGGTAAAAATTATAATGAATATTTGTACTTCCATTTTTCTGATTCAGGAACAAAATAATTTTCTCCCATTACACAACACTGAAGCCAAAGAGAAGAATTTACACATGGAAGGCACCTGGGAATTGGAGAAGGCATCAGCTGTACTACATCCTTGTGAAACATCGATTCAGAAACAGTGTGAAGGATGTGAAGACGCTGCCTGGGGCAGATAGTGACTCTGACCACAACTTACTGGTTGCCAAGTTCCAAACCAGGTTGAAGAAAATTATAAGATTTCAAAAGTGCAGACCTAGACGGGATTTGGAGAAGTTAAATGCTCAAAGACAAAGCATGCAGGAGACCCTAGAAGAGAAACTCGGTGCAACTGAAGGTGAAAGCGGAAATGCTGAAGTGCAGTGGAACAATATAAAAGAATGCATGTTAGATACTATCAGTGATTTGGTTGGTAAAGTTGAGAAGATAGCAAGAAAACCATGGGTTACACAGGAGATGATGAGTAAAATTGAGGAGCGAAGAAAATGGAAGAATGTAAACAATGAAGAAGGCAGGAGGAAATACAGGAGACTGAGGAATGAATTGAAAAGAGCCACGGACAGGGCCAAAAAGGAATATCTTGAGAAGATATGTAATGAGATTATAGAATTTCAAAGAACAGGACGTTATGATTTGATGTACATGAAGACAAAAGAACTAGGATGGAAAGAGAATCATGGGATTCAAAATATTGGCATCGAAGACTCCCAGGGGAATAGAATAGTAGATCAGAGGCAAGTGCTGAAAATTTGGGAAAATTATATTTCAGAACTATATGATCGACCTAATCGGCCAGAAACCTTAGAAGTTGAACCGGAAGAAGAAGTAGATACAGACGAGAAAGGACCATATATTTTACAAAGTGAGGTGGAAAAAGCTATCAAGGAAATGAGGAAGGGAAAGGCTACAGGAGATGATGATGTACCTGGAGATGTGCTCAAGTTACTGGGAGAAGGTGGTTTGAAAACACTGACAAAACTAATGAACACCATATATGAAAGTGGAGAGTGGCCCAAGGACTTTACAGAAGTTACAATGATTGCCTTAAAGAAAAAGACAAAAGCTACAAAATGCAGCGACCATCGCACAATAAGTCTTATTGCACATACAGCAAAGATAATAGCAAAGATACTTAAAAGAAGAATTGAAAGGAAAATAGAGGATGTACTTGGAGAAGATCAGTTTGGATTTAGAAGAGGAAAAGGAACCAGGGATGCAATTGGGATGATGAGAATTATAGCGGAACGAACTTTGGAGATAGATGAAGAACTGTGTGTTTGCTTCATAGACTGGCAGAAGGCATTTGACCGGGTAAACTGGACCAAATTAATGCAGATCCTGAAAGAAACAGGTATCGATTGGCATGAAAGAAGATTGATTAGCAAATTGTACATGGATCAGAAAGTTAGAGTACGACTGGACAGGGGGGAGACAGGAAGTGTGCAGATTGGAAGAGGAGTTCGACAAGGATGCTGTTTATCACCAATTCTGTTCAACTTGTACAGCGAATGCCTTACCAAGGAAGCTCTGGATGGGCTCGGTGACTTCAAAGTAGGAGGGCAAATTATTCAAACTGTGAAATATGCAGATGACCTTGTGTTAATGGCTAAGGAAGAAACTGTGCTACAGGGCATGATTGATAGACTAATTGAAATTGGAAGGTGCTATGGCATGGAAATGAATGTGGAGAAAACAAAAGTAATGAAAATTTCGAGACAACCAACCCCAGTCACAATAAAGATAGACCAAAAACAACTGGAGAATGTGAAATGTTTTAAATATTTGGGTAGCTTGTTAACAGATGATGGAAGGTGTACTTGTGAAATTAAATCCAGGATTGCCATGGCAAAAGCTGCATTTAGCAAGAAGAAGAATCTTTTTACCAGCAAATTGGACTTAAATTTGAGGAAGAAACTAGTGAAATGCTACATTTGGAGCATAGCTCTGTATGGGGCTGAAACATGGACACTTAGGGCAGTAGATGAGAAACATCTGGAAAGTTTTGAAATGTGGTGTTGGAGAAGGATGGAGAAGATCAGTTGGACCGATTATGTGAGAAATGAAGAAGTGTTAATTAGAGTCAGTGAGCAGAGGAATATCCTACATGAAATAAGAAAACGGAAGGCTAATTGGATTGGTCATGTTTTACGCAGAAACTGCCTTCTAAAAGAAGTTATCGAAGGAAAGATAGATGGGCGGCTAGAAGTGACAAGAAGACGAGGAAGAAGACGTAAGAAGATGCTGGATGATTTTGGGGACAGAAGAGGATACTGTCATTTGAAGGAGAAAGCTCTAGATCTCATTAAGTGGACGAATTGTTTTGGAAGAGACTGTGGACCTGTCGTCTGACAGATTACTGATGATGATGTCACTACACTGCAACATCTGGATATGAACTCATAAATCTGGCATTTCAGAAGCATAGTAGTGCCAAGGTATAGCACTTCTTTGAGTAAGCAGTTCAAGAAACCACTGAAAGGAACTAGTTGAGCAGCACCAGGAAAAATTATTTCTGACTAACAAAATAATCCTAATGTCTGTTAGCAATTTGGAAGCTAGAATCTTATTGAAACGAATACCAACACACACACACATATTTGTGGTACCTTTGCCACTGTTACAGCTAATGCAGAAGACATAAGACCTATAACCTATGAATGCCATTACGTTTGACACCATGAATTATCATACTTGTCTCACATTTCATCAGTCTTCTTGTTCATTATATCTGACTTATGAACAGTAAGAAAATGACACTAATAATAAATGTTGCAGTCTTTGACCGCAGGGGCGAATCTAATGGGAATATTATTTTTATATTCCCTAAAATGATAATTAGATGTTAAACAACAAACTGAAAAACCGACATAATCTTGCAATTCGGCTCCATAAATAAAATTACCACTGCTGGCGTGTACATTTTTTCCTCCCTATACGTACACGAACAAGAAACAAATTAAATGTGTACATGTGTAGGGCTCTGACTACAAATTAAAGAACGTAGTACTTTAGTCGTTCGGTATAATTCGCTCGCGGGCTACAGGCCGCGGAGTTTGTTTTTGTTTATTACTTTAGTCCCGTTTCTAACATTAAACATTTGTTTTTAAATTCACTGATAAAATTATTTGTATGAAGAAACGCGACACTATGAGTGAATCGATTTGATACAGTGGATGACGGACTGCAGAAGCATTTCTACAGCCCTGATTAACTAAGGTTATGACAAATTAGCGAAACAGTTTTCTGTTTATGCACTCGCTATAAGTGATACGTTACCTCAAGTAATGATATGATGCTAATTAAATTGTTGGCGTTTTTTCTACTCTTCAAGAACTCTAAAGCCTGTGCTCTAAGTTCTTTGGATAACATTCTAATACTATTAATTCATTCACAGTTCCCTACTCCTACATTACACTTCCCACTTGGCCTCGTCCGCCTCGTCTACAGCAGCCCCGTGAACCCGTGAAACTCCCATAGGGGAGAGGGAAACATGCAGAACCCTCATCTATATTCATCAATATGAACTAGGTAGTCTGGCAATGACTGAAATCGATTATACACCTATCGCATTCAATCGAATCGCATAAGTGTGAGCCAATCAGAGGATCTTAAATTTCCGTTGAAGGTTTCGGGTGTTGCTGAGGTTGCTCGGTAATTGCATATAAGTTTTTGAGGTATGTTGTGCAATTAATTAGATTAATTAGTAAGTAGGGACTTTGATTTGATGTTGTGAAATGAGAGTCGACATTTACGCACGAATTGACATCTGTGTGTTACTTATGTATATGGATTATGCTTACTACGCCCAGTGAAATTAGAAAGAAACATGAAGTCAGTGTTACTACGATACTTCATCCCAATCGTATTTCTGTGTTTTAAGCATCTTTCGGTGTAGCCTAAAGAAGGACCGTAGAATCTTAAGTGAGAGTGTACTGTGATTCTCTTATAATTTTTGGATTGTTTCTTGCAGTATAAATGGGGAGAATGAAAAAGTGTTTCGCGCCAGAGTCTACAGTCCTCACTTAAACGGCCATCGCCTAAGATCGGCACGGTTTGCTTGTAGGCAGCTGTACAAATCTATACTACGGCAAATCAACGGTAGCAGAGAGTGTGGGAAGGAAATACTAACATCAACAACAGAATGCGCTAGTGATTCGTGTATCTGGTATAACTTTCAAAATCCCCGGAAGGAATGCCATATGTCCTGCTCCAGGAAGGGAAATAAACGTATCGCATGTGGCATTACAGATATGCATGTTGCAAAGAATGTACGGTACGATTAAAAAGCAATTCGGCTCACGAAAATTTAAAAATTGCGGGGTACTTTGGTTCTAGCGGACTTGCCATTTTCTAAACTACCAGGTGTTGATGCGCCTGTTAAGGAACTCAGGCACCGTAATGAAACAGAGAGATGGGAAGAACGATATGACCCCAAATAAAAACGATTTATTATTGATTTAACGTTTTCTTGGGTTATTTATTGATATTGATTCTGTTGTGTTGTCACATCATTTATTTGTAGCCCATGTAGCTGTATATTCAGAAATATATGTTTCATCCATTTTTGGGGTCAAAGTGTGTAAGTTTGCATGTTGCCCTATCCTCTATTCTCCCATTAATTTTGAAAGGTGAATGCTATACTTACGCAGTGATGCAACCTACACACGTTTACCCTGAAAAATGGATATTAGCTTGCTACATGCTTGTTTCTCATTTGGTTTATTCCTCAACCCTGAAGATGAACCTGACATGTATATCTGTAGCGTTGGTAGACTTTCAATGGAATAAGCGGCATTATACCCCATGGGATTGAACTCCCATAGCCACTGCTGTTGAAAACCTCAGATCCTACAAAATCTAAAGATTAAACTCTTATTCTCATTTTTAGAACAAGAGACCCTACTCTTAACTAAGAGGTTGCAGGACTCAACTTGCATATCACACAAAGGATCCATTACTACAGATTCAGGTTTCATAAATGGCAAAATCAAGGTAAAGACACAAAAAGTGATCCCAATTAAATGAGACCTGGACTATGACATGAACCCCAGCAAAACCTGAAAGGAACATGTGGTTGGAACCACTGTAGGACAGGATTTACTAAACTGTTAGGCGCGTCCATTTGGGGTGTAGGGGCTGAAAGGTCCATTGTAGTGTGCAAGAAAAATGGAAAAAATAGCTGGTTGTTGCCCTGTAATAAATATTTACATTGAAAGACTGTGATAGTTTTAATTTTGCTGAATGTTTACATTCCATGTCATGGTTTTATTTGAATTTCCATTAATCTCAGCCATTTAGGCTAATTCTGTAATCTGTAGTAACCTTACTGCAGTAATTCTTCTGTCTTTGTAGCCTCCTATCCTTTTCATCATATTTCTGAACCTCTTCTAAGAATGTTAGGAATGTGTCTGATGGTACAAACCCAACCCTTTAGCAGCTGTCTATCACAGATTACCAAAGGATCACTTGATACTGCAGGTAGTGAAGAATCTACTGTAGGACCAACAAATCTGTAACACTGTTGGATTTAAAGCACAGCATTTGTTTTCACAGCTCCCATCCTTCTCCACTAAGGAAGTACTAATATTGCTACAGTAAGCAGAGTTGCTACATGATGCTCACAATTAACCAGGAATATTCTTGGGGGTAAAGGGTGGCTGGCACGTAGGGCTGACAACCTTGCCGCCATCTATGAGATGATTATCTGGAAAATTTGGGAACCTCAACATCTCAGAACCCTATGGGCCTCCATGGTCTGTTACAGGGATACATTTGCTTAAATTCGCTTAGTGGGGGGTGGAGTCCAACTGGGTCCACTCAGCACGTTGGCTGCTATTGGCCTATTGTAGCCTGCCCCGGGTGATTATGATGATGGAGAATTTGGTGGAATGAAGATTGGTAGGGGAAACTGAAATACTCAGAGAAGACCCGCCCCAGCGCCACTTTGTCCACCACAAATTCCTTTTGACCAGACCTGGGATTGAACCGGGGCACCCGCAGTGGGAAGCCAGCGACTAACCGTTTCAGTTATGGCGTGGCCTATACCTTTACTTACTTTATAGAAAAGCGAATTCATTCTTATTTTCTGTAGAATATGACCCATCATTTCCTTGTATCCTGCAAAAGAACTGAAGCCTGCAAGTAGAGTGTGATTTGGTGTCTGTGAAAGATAGATGGTTGTTAAAAAGATCAAATTATTAACTACATTAAAACATTTGTTGGACAGAAAATCTATAGGAAGTACAAACTTGATGTGATGGAATACATGATAAATGATTTGTTAGTGCAATATTTTAAGAGATTTATATTGGTTCACAGTTTTTCAGTTATAATTCATTCTTGTCATCCATACAAGAATGGCATAATTTACATTTTAATGGTTAATTAAGAACCATCAAGCAAGTTTATGAATGTGACATATTTAGTTGTGTAAAGAATGTTGCGTTCATCTTCGTCATATGACAGTGCAAGAACCACTATCCTGTGAACAGAACAACACTCATGTTACTATGTCCTTTGTGCAATGATCCCAGATTTAAAGTCATATGCATAACTATGGTTCTCAGGGCTCAGCCTCATTGTATGCTGAATCTGTTCGCATGTTTCGGCACATAATATTCACCATCTCTAGAATAAATGGGGTAGAAGAGGAAGGAGGACTGCTGATTTGTGATTCATTTTGATTCTGTCAGCATCACATATCATAGTGTCCCAATGGTAGGATGACTCGTGAATAATGAATTGAAAAATAAATGGAAAAAATGGTAATGGGGTTGAGGGGGGAAGAGGAGCACATTGCTATACAACTGGGATAACTGAGAAGAAAGGCTTCAAGTCAGACTTTGTTCAGTTTGTACCTGCCTTCACTGTTGTGGATGTGGGGGGGGGGNGATAGCTTTGGCGTTTGAGGCAGGGATGGTAAGTGTGGATGTTGCTTAGGCCTTAATATTCGCTGAAGCTGATTCAGCATCTGGTCTTGGTGGAGCATTTAGCTACTAGTCATCACCTGTGCTCTAGGCTTGTCTGTCTGATATTTTGTGAGATTCGAACAGAGATATGATGGCTAGCTTGATTGATGCATCCCTTGACACATGAGCAGGGGATTTTGTAAATGCCAGGTTTTGTGTCCTCCATCGATCTCAGATGGGTTGCCATTTTGTTAAAAGCTTTGTCAACAATGCTGGTATTTTGTTTCTAGAGTAGCAGCCTTTTGTTCCCTAGGTGCATTATAAACGTTGTAGTCTCAGTTATCTACTTTTACCTTGTCATTCTTCTTATTATTCCTGCTCCAATCATAACACCTATATACTACCACAGTCAATAAGTTCGTGGAATGGCCACAAAACGTTGTACGGGAATTTACTGCCAATATGTTTCAGCAATGTTTTCGACAGCTATATCAACATTGGCAGACTTGCAAAGCGGCCAACGGCAACTATTTTGAGGGCTGATGTGGATCTGCATAAGTGTATGTGAATACCATGTAATATGATGCGATAAAAACCACATTCAACTAACTTAATGACTACCATGTATATATCAGTTCACATTTCCTTCCCCCATCACTCTGAAGTACAGGAACAGCTTCAGCACGTGATGTGGCTGAACCCGAATGCTGGGAACTTAAATATTAGACACAGATTGAAAAAACATAAACACTACATGGAACAGCATCTTCGAAAAGTTTATAGTTATTAAGCTGGTAAAGATATTTCCACTTTTACTGAATCAAAAAGTCAATTACCATTGTCAAGAAAGGCCTGGCATTACGCCTGACCCCAAGCCAGATGAATCAGTCTATACTCTCACATGAAATTTCTCTAAAAGAAATTTTAATATTATTCTTTTACCTTCAAAGTGATGTCTTCCACTGAGGTTTTCCAGCTAAAATTATGTTTGAATTTTAAGTGTCTCATGTGTACTGCATGTTCTCCTCATCTCCCTTCATTTAATTTCATAGTAATATTAAGTATAGCATAAAATACACAGTTTCTCTTGGTCATTCTTTCTGTTTCCATGTTAACTTCTTTCTCTTCGTTAAGCATAAGCATTCCCCTCACCACCCTGCTCACAAAGACCCTCAACATGAAACAGTGGAACACAAACTTACACACACAGATCTGATATGGGAGCATAAAGGATTCTGTGTTAAATGGCAATGTTGTGCCTTAAGTGGTTACTTCTGTTTTTTGGAGGACTGTACAGGCTGCATGCAAATTGCTTGTATAATATTGTGACGTGACACCTGAAAGCCAGAATAGCGGAAGCAGAGTAGAATTTCATTGCTAGGCAATGACTTGTTATACAGGTTCTTGCAGCAATGAATACGTAAGCAATAATGAAGGGATTGTTAGGAAACACTGTTTTCTGTTGGGGCCACCCCAGTACTATATAACGAGGATCCAAGGCCAGCTGAATTAGAATTGTGGGAGTCTCTTGAGTTGGCAGTTGAAGATGACTGAGAAGTGAAAGCAGACTGAGAAGACTTAGCGTGATGTGATTTGTAGTGTGGAAATCGGCAAGAGTGTTATACTTATTTGTATTTATGACTTGTAAGTGGTCAATAAATCTATTCACCAATCCAAACCCCATTTACAGTCACTAATACATGTGGCAACAATGTTTTAAACTCAGAACTGTGGTCAGACTGGTGTTACATTTAGCATGGGGACTAGTGAGCTGGTATGTAGAGATCATTTTCAAGGTCCCTTGTGGTGTCAAAGAACAATGTGGGAAGTGCAGTGGTAGCTGAATTACCAAACTTGTACTCTGTGCCGGGACTGGATGGGTAGCAAATACAAAAGCTCCACATCACTGTGAGTGGTCAGTCCTCTAATGTATATATTTGAAATCCCAACTTAAATAATGGAAGGATCCTCATTTGACTTTATGCTTGGGATAATAATGTCATGTGTATATGACAATAGATAGGGCGTGGATTAGTGAATGGATTTACTGACCACTTAGTTAGTTATTAGAGAGGGTGGGTTTCCCCATGCACTTAGACCTGTAGTGGTCCATTGTGCTTCCCTCTATGATTTCTACCAGCCTCTATATCCTACCGGTATTGGTGCTTACCATCAGTCCTGCCCAGCCAGCGAGACCGGCTCTACTGGCTAAGTATCTATAATGCTTCCCCCATCTACCGGAGGTATTAGTGACTGCTGTTGGGTGGGAAATGTCCGCAATTTTGGCTCAGTGACCTCCTTTGGAGGTATAAGGTTCTTTTATGTGCCGTAAAGCTACGACATGGGACCCACGGCTTAAAGTCCCTCCCGGAGGACTTGTTCCCTGAATTTTTCCGCCCTTAAAAATTCGACGACCTCCGCCGGGTATTTGAACCCGCGTACTACGAGTCATGAGGTGGGAACGTTACATCTAGACTACGGAGGCCGCTTACTGACCACTTACACACATGACCTGGAACTACAAGTAATTACAGCACTATCACTGTTCTCCAATTTTTACAAATCACCACAGCACACACAAAGCCTTTTCCAACATGCTGTGCCTTCAACAGCTGTTTCATGGCAACAGTTTCTAACAGTGGAGATTCTTCAGCTTCCCATGCTCAGGTTCTCTTGTGCAGAACACTTGTCAACTGTCAACTTAACTATAGTGCCAACTCCTCTCAGCCGCAACTGATAACTGAACTGGTAAACTTAAATTGTCTTCAAGATAACTCCTTGGATTGGAACCCATAGAAAACATCATCCCTCTATTGTTGTGTGCATATTTGTTTCCATGGGAATGTGTTTACTGAGCCATTGCTCAGAAAGAGCTGTTTGTTTATTCCTCTACTGCATAACAATGGCTGTTGTCTTATTGTTTGTTTATAGGTTTTTGCCTAGCAATGGATCTATATGCCACAGTAATGACTGACAGAGAATAGGAACAAATAACGAATGGAAATCAGTAAATAATACTGTTGACACAGGGACCTAGAGAGGCAGTTGAGAGTGACAGAGCGAGGAAAAGGGAAGGAGCTTCAGGGCTGAGAAGATGGTCATACAGACACACAAAATGAAGAGAATTATGAATTTGTAGTTCACAAATGCACACACGGAGTAAATATTTTAAGTAGGGACAGGAGGTTGGAGAAAACTGCATAATGAGGAGCTTCACAACTTGTACTCTTCTCCAAGTATAATTAGAATGATCAAGTCAAGGAGGATGAGGTGGGCAGGTCATGTAGCATGAATGGAGACAAGGAATGCGTATAGGATATTGGTGGGAAAGCCAGAAGGAAAGAGACCACAGGGAAGACCAAGGCGTAGGTGGGTGGACAATATTAGAATGGATCTTAGAGAGATAGGATGGGATGGTATGGATTGGATAGATCTGCCTCAGGATAGGGACCCGTGGAGGGCTCTTGTGAACATGGTGATGAACCTTCGGGTTCCATAAAATGCTGGGAAATGCTGCAGAATTGGTGGCTCCTCAAGAAGGGCTCAGGTCCGTGAGTAAGTAAGTAAGTAAGTAAGAGTAAGCCTACCCATACACTTCATGCCTGAGAGAGGGCAACAAACCTTACTACCTCAGTCAATGAATTTAGTCTGTTGTTAATTCTGTTATGAAAATAATTTTGATTTTTGATTTTTCAAAAGCATCTGAAATCTGCGGACTTATCAGCTATGATCATATTATGATTATGTACTGGACCTGATCCTATGCCAATGGTTCCACAAACTAACTGTGTCTACAGGCAGAGTTAATCATGTGAGAAGAATGAGAGATATAATATTATATGAAGTCAATAAGAGCCACAGTTCTAGATGACTTTTAGTATACTACCACCATTTAAGAATAACAACTTACTTACTTGTATAGTCTTCCCAATTTGAGAGATTTCAATGTGTACAGAATGCCTTGTCCGTTCTCAATTCGAACTCGGAATGGTTTACCTACAATTTAAACAAGAATATGTAAGAAATATGAAATAATAAAAATTTAATTTTGTAATGTAAATGCTTGGGTGTTGACAGGTTGGATATCATGGTAATGCCTAACTTTGGGTAGGCATAGAACAGAGATCACTGGTTGGCACTTATCTGTGGACGAATGTAGTTACTTTTGAGAAGCTGACAGTTACCAGCTGGTCTAGAATCTCCCTGTCTTTTATGAAACCAGAAGGTTAATAGCAATCAGGGTATGTGCCACTGGGCTATAGACTAAGCCAGTTAAATCCAATCCATACCTTCACAACCTATTTTATATTAATTTTAATGTTACCTTCCCAATTTATGACTCCATCTCCAAACATTTTGTGATGAAAATTTTGTATGGATTTGTCATCTGTTCCATATATTCTACAGATTTGGACCATCTCATCTTTTTTTATATGAAGATTCTAACAATATTTGGTGAAGAGTAAAAATTATGAAGCTCCTTAATATTGTATTTAACCCTTTTACTGCATATTATTTTCTTATAATTTTCCTAAAATAATGGCACTTTAAAGCAAAAGTGTAAAGGAAAAGGCAGCAAGAATGCATTTTCATAGCCCAATGAATGGAAGTAAATAACACAGTGAAAGACATCATTATTCCTTAATGTCAACTAAAGTCGAATATCACCCTACACAGTAGCAGATAGCATTAATGAAGTTCAAAATACTGTATTTTTAAAATATATTAGGCCAGTCATCCATGTAAAAACACACATTTTATTTAGATATCCATTTAATATGTTTATAAATTTGGTTATCTCTGCTGATTAAATACATGATACAAAACTGTTGGAGAAATTCTGTATATATGACCACTTAATACTGACATGATGACTGAAAGCCGGAAGAGTGGAGCCACAGCATATGTGCTTTGCTAGGCAAAGGCTTGGTAAACACATTACATGGTAATGAATACATGATCAACAATCAAAGATCTGCCATTTCTATGCAATGACAAGGTAAACACACCTCTATAACAACAGAGGAATTGTTAGGAAACAATGTTTTCTGTTGGGACCAACCCGAGGCTATACAACAGGAATCTCAGGCAGCTGAAACGAGGATTGTGGGAATCTCGAGGCAGCAGTCGATCCTGATGGAAAAGAGAAGACATAGTGTGTCATGTAGTGTGGTTTGTGAAGTGTAGTAACAAATTGCATAAGTGTGCAATAAATTCGGTAATAAATCCAAAACCTGTCTATAAGTCATGCACACCCCCAAATAGGCGACAATATTTTATCCACCATCGTCAGATCACTTTAGAATCTACTTATATTTTAAATGGTTGTTCAGGATTTTTGTGAAATATTTCATATGAAACAGAGACAGTAAACATCTGTTTAGAGAAATTCAGGGGACCCAAAATTGATGGACATAGTGAGGTGGTAGTTCTTAGTGTAGTCATAACATGCTACAGAAATATCTTATCACTCATGAGGGTTGTTAACTGCAGTGAGATTAATATGTTAATATCAGCGTTTAGTTGAATGTTAAATAAAAAAATTGTGTACTATTGCCTGACTGTGTTCAGTTAGAATGCAGACACATTCCTAACATGATTTGTTCACTCTGTGACCATCCAAGTCTTGGGTCAGAAAAGAAGTCCCGAACTTAAAGATCAAAGATATGATAATGTGTTGCCTGTCAGGACTATTGTGAACCTCAGGGGGTTGTCATAGAAGGGTATGGCACAATGGTGGAATGAAGATTAGCAAGGGAAAACTGATAAAACTTGGAGATATACCTGCTCCTGTGCCACTTCATCTGTTGTGAACCTTACGACAAATTACCTGGAACTGAATGCAACGCTCCACAGCGAGAAGCCGGCATCCAAATGTCTGAGTTGTGGCAGGGCTTCAAGGAAGATGTTACAGATTAATTTCAGTAGAACAGAACACAATCAAAGGGAGATAAAAAAAGAAACAAACCTGTCTCATTTTCAACTATCCTGTATCTTGTTCGTGGCAACTGCCTACCATCTTCTCCAAACACAGTAAACTGCATCAAATCTTGATATGGCTGTACTTCATTTCTGTCTAATGTAAGTACAATGTAACTAACAGTCTGTGTCAGCAGTGGACCTTCCTTGCAGACAGCACCCGGTTCATCACAAAAATGAACACAGTTCCTGAAAAAAAAAAAAAACAAACATTTTTACAGTATGTCATTGTTGTGGCTGTAAGGAGTAATGGTTGGTGTTCCTATAATTACTACGTTAAATTATGTGAGATGTTCAGGTATCATCATGTGGTGCATGAAGACTTCAGTCTCAAGGGAAGTGATTGCTTGTAGTTTGGTATATACACTTTTATTGTACTGAGGACTGTCTTACAGGGGACAACGATTTCAGTCATCCCAAGCATTCCGACAGCTTCTGGGATCGTTGTGCAGCCCTGATCTTGCTAGGGCTGTAAAATGAGCCTCCACTAGAGCCACAAGTGTCCTGAATGAGGCCTTCCTAATGTATATCAGCGCTAACCATGCAGAGTTGAACATCTCTTTCCAAAGCCTAGTTAAAGCCGGGTACTGACACAGTATATGGCAGGAGGAGTCTTTCTTCTGCCACCATGTGGCGTTTTCCAAGAATCTGATAACATGTATGCAGGTCGACCAGAAAGTAAAGACTGTCTGGTGACTGGAGGAAAATTAGTGAATAAAAAAATTACTTTGTCATTACTACAGACCTTGAATCATTTTTCTACATAATTCCCATGAAGATTCAGGCACTTGTCATATCATGTGATGAGTTCCTGCATGTATGTGTTGTAGAAATCTACTGCCAGTCCACTGAACCTGTCTTTAACTGTCTTCTTCTTCTTCACTTTGTCATCGCTATGCATGCACATGCCACCCAAAAACTGCTTCAAGTGTGTGAACAGGTGACATTCACTTGCAGCCAGCTCTGGATTGTATGGAGGTAAAGTCAGCACGCAGTGCATGTGTGTGAGCGGTCTCTACTCTCTGGATGACCCTCACAGATGCCACCTCAATGTACGATGGTGAGTCAATAATTCTTTTACTTGCCTACAATGTTTCCTGTTGAAGGCTAGTAGGTTCCTAGGCATGTTATCTAAAGCCTTCCAATGAGGAGATTCAACTACCTCATAACTGGTGCGTCAATTAAATTTTCAGAGTGCCTCTCCTTCAGCCCCTCCTCCTCCTTAAGCCAAGAACACATGGTGAAACTGAAACTGCTGTTTTGGGACCAAGGACTTCTATCCTGGTGCAAGAAGTTTCTCCAAAACATTAGTAGTTAGTTATAATATCCCAAAGGACTTCTATTATCTGTTTAATGATGTAAATGCATTTAATCTTCCTTTTGGCTGCAAGTTCTTAATTTATTTTACAGCTGTATGTATTGTTTGGTTGATTTATGTACATCACATAACTCTGTCTGTTATGTAGCAGCTGAATATCTTCCACATACATAGATTTTAGCCAATGACAGTGGCTGCATGGTCTAAGGCAGTGGTTATCAAACTTTTTCAGACCGTGGCCTGGTAAATTCTTTTTCTAAAAGACGAGGGCCTGGCATAACTGATGCCAGGGCCCGGTACTGGACCGCGGCCCAGCGGTTGACAAATACTGGTCTAAGGCATGGAATGTCTTAGGTTGCTCAAACAGTGAAATTGTGGGTTTGAAACCCACGCATGGCATGGATGTCTGTTTGTGTTTATTCTGTGTTTGTGTTAGGTAGGGGCTTTGCTTTCGGCTGATCCCCCATCTAGGGAGTCCTACCAACTGCCCTATGCTCCAAGTGGGAGCAAGAGGAGGATGAGGAGGAGGAGGAGGAAGACAACAACATGGATTGTAAATGAGATTTAACTATATTAAAAAGGACAAGATTCTTTTAATTTGCCTATGTTCTACTGTCAGGAGGAAGAAAGTGTTGAAAGAGAATGAACCAATTTTTTTCTAGTGAAATCCCTGTTTAATGAATCTCTGGAGAAATGGCTTCTCTTATACCAAAGTGAGATTTTCACTGACTGGGAGTTATGGAAATGTACATCAAAAATCTGTTCACCTTCTTATGAAACCTGCTGTATAAATTATGACAAAAAAAAAAAGGTAAAGTTGTTCATGCACTTAATTAATTCAGTACCACGCCATGAAAACATATGGGGTAGTGAAGGTATAGCTCTACAGTTCTTGATCTTGGCACTAGGTGGAAGTGAGTGGTCATCCCTACCCTCCAGCTGCTTACCCCCAGTGGAAAGAGCCAGCAATACCCATTGCATAGGAGGATGCATGGTCCCCAGAGCCAGTCTGCAACATGCGGAGAAGAGAAAAATCTTTTGCCTCTGGTAGGAATCAAACCTCAATTCCTTGGCCATCCACCCCATAGCCTCTTGTTACAGCAAAACAGTTATGATTACAACAGTGACATGTGTACACACACAAATGTAATCACATAGAGAATAATATCAAACCAATCAATAATGGTTTTTGGAAAAGAAGACAGTGATGTCAGTTCCTGCTCTGATCAGTCAATGAGGTTAAAAGTTCTGGAAGGTTACTAAATGCTGATTATTTAAAAACTCAGAAGTCTCTAAAAATGGCAAAATAATAATTTGTCTATAGGAGCTGGGATAGTGCAGTCAGTATACCAACTGGCTACGGGCTGGATGACTGAGGCGTTGGAGTTCAAGTCCCTGTAGGGTCAAGAATTTTCTCCAGACCTCATCCAGACCGGTTCTGGGGCCCATCCAACCTCCTATCCAATGGGCACCAGGGACTCTTCCCCCGGGGGTAAAGCGGACGGGACGTGAAGCTGATTACTCACCTCCAACTAGTGCCAAGGTCAAGAAAATGTTGATCTATACATCCATTCCTCCGTACGCCTTCATGGCATAGTTAAGTACAGGGCCAACTTTACCTTTTTAATAGGTTCTTTATACTGGACTTCAGCTGGGACCAGAAAAAATGTTCACTAAATATGAGATCTCATAAGATGTGGCAGCATTAAATCAGGATCTTATTGCATCAGTTTTGGGCTGAACAATATCCTGAAAACCCATTGCTCACCTTGTGTCCATATCTCTCTCATAACCTGATGGGCATGGTGTCTCCAGACACCGATATGTCCCCTTGATATTTAGGCATGTTTGTTCAGTGTTACACACACTGGGAACAATTCTGCATTCATCCACATCTGTGCAAGGAAAAACGTTAAATCACAAGGGAGAAGAACACAAGCACGTGCCCTCGAACACAAGCATGTGCCCTTTTATAACTATACATGTAAGTTCTACTGCCACCGGGTGAACACCCAATTGCAGTATAATAATAATAATAATAATAATAATAATAATAATAATAATAATAATAATATAGAACCAAGCTGCCTTGGTTTGGGGGCACATGGATTAGATACATATATACTGTTAAGATCTGAAGCTTTCTTCTTCTCCTATTGAAGTTCATACAATGAAAATATAATCAGGAGATGATATTTATCTGTCCATCTTTATGTCCACATGATTCTCTCTGGAACTACTCAACAGATTTTAATGAAAATTATCATATAGCCTAGTCACTACACTAAGCACCCGGCTGACAATGACACTATAATATGATGTATGCAACCCAGGAGACAAGGTATTTTAATTTAATTTAATTGCCAAACCTGCAAATGCTTGTAGTTGAGGCACAGTGTACATGGCACAAACTTTGAGTATACCGATTTTCTGTCTGAATTTTTTTTTGCATATTGTGCATCAAAATCTAAATAACTCTTCCAGTATCAATACTGGAAATATTTATAATATTTAGGAAAACAATCCGATGGCAGGGCTTCTCAGTAGCTGAAAACATGACAGTGAAAGCATTAATGCAGACCCATACATATCAGAGCTTGGCAGTATCAATGTAGTTCAGAATTTAGAAATGTGTGGCACAATCTCATATCTTGGACTTGTAACAGAAAGCTAAGTCACTGTGATTCAGATCTGTGTATCAAAGTATTTTGTATATTTCATATTTCAATCTGTTAATAATCTGAAATTACTAATAAATTAAAGCAATATATATGGAAATTCAGGCCATAAAATTGAATAAAATTAACCCAAAATAATTGTTCACAATCAACCCCCATTTTTTCAATTTTCCCATAAAATGGGAAGTTTTTACTTCTCAGCTGTACAGTCCTCTGAGAACCTTGACCTCCTTTTTTAAGATTTGCTCATATTTCTCTGTTCTTTGCCTTTCACCTCAGTCTATCCAATGTCAGCTCCCACAAATCATTCTCTGTATTTACCAGCCATCAAACTTTGCCTTTATGTTCCTATCCTTAAGGAACTGAGCACACTGCAAGTAGCAAGCTTGTCCTTATCACTAGCCATTTCCTTAAATCGCCCATCCTCCACTCATCATTAGCTCTACTAATATACAACATTATTAGCCTCACACTCTACTGCCAACCTGGCAGACCAGATCCCCTGTGTGTCTTGTCTCAACTGTTTGATCTGTTTATGTGTTCTTGCGTGATCCTACCAGAAGCAAACATCACAGCTAACATAGCTCTCCAGACAATCATGGGACACAAACTTCGCCTTAACATTAATGGTAGTAGCCCGGGGGGGGGTAATAACATCAACTTACCCTGACATATTCCATTGGATGGCTCAAACCCTTGAGGGCAGCTCCAGATATCTCTTGTTCTGCTCCAAGTTTGTTGTGGTCTGTGGCGAGTTAACATGTAGTTGGCATCTTGATGGTACTCATAATCACTGTTATGTCTGTGACTTGCTGGAAGGCTGCGGAGACCATGTGAAGATTGAGAGTGAAAATTCAACTTATCACTGTGTGGACCTGAATAGGGCTCATTTCGATCAATCCAGTACTGTACACCTGTAAGGGTATTCACACCATAACAATGAAAACACCCACAACAGTAATGTTTCTTTGAAGGTTAACAATTTTGTCACGTCTCCATAACCAAATGTCATGATCACATGATCAGCAATCATCATTCATGTATAAGTTATCCAAGGAACATCAAAATTCAGCCCGGAGACCGGCTACTTTGGCTGTATAGTTTTTTGTAGCTTTTCTCAGGCCACCAGACAACTACTGAGAAATGCCATTATTGCTTTTTTCCATAGACTTTTCAATTCATCAGTTCATAATTAATGTACAGTTTAATGCATTATAACCAATGCACAGTGAACAAGTTAATGGTTTTGATTACTTAGGGTATACAATTACAGTAACAAACAACAGAGAACTGGAAATAAAAATGAATAGATTTAACCAAATGTGCAGCACAATAAGAACACTGAATAACAAGACAAAAAAAGTAGACAGATACAATACTATACAGTTATGGCAGCACCTATATTTACATATAGATTCAAAATTTGCATTACAATAAAAAAGGGAAGCAAAAATTGAAACCTCAGAGTTTAAATTTTTGATGAGTGTAGAAGGCTATGCAGAGATCAAATACGGAACACTGAAATTAGGGAAGAGCTGAATATTTTTAATATAAATAATAAAATTCTAAGATCCTGACAGCAGTGGAAATACCAAGTTCTACAAATGGAAGACAGATGAATTCCAAACACAATTTTAATGTAGAACCCCCTTCAAAAAAACAAAATATAGGGCACCACAGTAAAGTTGTCAGGTTCAACACACGCTTCAAGAGGACAGAGCAGGCCAAGCATGGCCTAATCCATGAATACTTGGACTTAACAGGGAGAAAGCAGCAGGAAGCTTGTCAAAAGAGCATAATTACGAGTTTTGTAATTTGCATTCTTCATGAATTACTTTTAGGGTGATCAAATTAAAGAGGATAAAGTGGAAGGGGGATGTAATATGTAAAGAAGTGTAGTAATATTTTAGGAAAAAAAAATTGACAGAAAAGAGGAACTTGGAAGACACAGGCATAGATGAAAGAGGCTATTAATATGGATCCTAAAGAAAGAGAAATGAAGGTGTATTCATCTGGCCCAGGATAAAGATGAATGGCAAGCTCCTGTGAACATGCAAATGAAAATCTTGGTTCTGTAAAAGGTGGGAGAAATTTGACTAGGTGAGTAACTATTAGACCATCAAGAAGGGCTCTGGTCCATGGATGCAGTTATATGTTTTCCTCCTCATTACTTGTGACATGCAAGGCTTATCACAATATTCATGCAAAAAGCTGTGACATGTGAACATACTCAGACCCTGGTAGTGACCAGTAGCAGTCAGACCTCTCCTCTCTTCAAGGATGAGGCCCCATTTCAAAACAATGGTCATTGGTCATGACAGGATGAAACCAAGAATTACTGTGCTGACAAGGATCAGCAGCAATTTAACTGATAACCTGACTGACTCTTCACAGCATGGCAATTTTGTAAAGGTGTTACAACTTCTCAGATATTAACCTTTAAAATTAAATTTCCAGAAATTCAGCATCTTCTGTTGTGAAAAATACTCGGAAACATATTTATGATCTCAAACATGTTACAGGTTTACTTGTTGTGTGTACTGATAAAGATCAAACCTGAAAAAATCAACCATGTCAAAACTTGATGTTATGGGGAGTGTGGGAGGTTACTGTGGTTCCTTTTAAAATTTATGCCAAAGTTTCAATTTTCACTTACTACGAATGCTATTAGCAGACAGAAATGTAATAAAAAATTAGGTTCCCTACAAGTACAGTAACCCTTGACCTGATGAGCGATTCCCAACTTTTCAAGTAAGACCCCTTACCATGGAACTTTTTTACTTGGGTTCCACTTTCATGCAGGATATTTGAAATTTTCTTTAAAAATTTATTAAGTCATACAAATATTATGTTTCTGGATATTATCCATTGTCTAAGTTTTATCTGAACCACCATCCTGTATTTGTATTAATATACCATCATCATAAATTTAGACCTTACTTACTAAGGAATAATGTACAAGTGGATAACTTCTAAGTTACAATGTGATGAAGTTTCAAGATTATCGACATTTTGAATGATATCATGTATAGTTCAGCATACCTGAACATGTTCTGCTATCTTCTAATAACACATAGCCCCTTGGGCAAAGGCACTTGAAACTTCCTTTCACATTACGACACTGGTGAGAGCAGATTGAAGGATCTTCCATGCATTCATTTATATCTGGAAATAAAACATTTATGAGTGACAGAAATTTACTGCATAACAAATATGTTCCATATGATTAAGTACAGCCTACTGAGGGCAAAGAAAGAAGTCTCATGGATGGTGTGGATGTGGGAATGCTTGAGTTTTCACCATTTCTACCTACTGCTGTCCAGCCAGCCCTAAGCACTCATAAGTACTGAAGGTTATCACATAGTTATCACTATCAAAATTCCTGTGAAGAGAACGATTTGATGACAGGAGAGGAGTATAGGGAAGTATGCTGGAGGGGTAAATATGATAGCTTATGGAAGATGTGAAGGTGGTGGATGTATAGGACTCCTTTTTGTGACATAAGTGTAGGAACATACAATCTGAGCAACTGAAAGAAATAAAAGGGCCAATGAATCCTAGTTTCCAGGAACCACTGAACTGTATGGCGCCTGGCCTTTGTGATTTGACTGGAATATGAATCAGAGAAACACATTATGATAAAACATGATACGAAATAAGGTCTTGTTGGCTGTCAACACACAACACATGGACAAGCATCACCATGACCTTATATAGACTGTATTTCTTTTAATTATATATAAACGTTAGTTTGAGCCTCACAGGAAACATACTACATCTCCACTACAAAACCCAACCAGTTAATGCTGTTTAGGGAAATGTTTGATGTTTGTTGTGAGTACCATCCAGAACACAAAATATATCTTGTGGGCAGACTGCAGAACTTTACTGTGTTAACGCAGGTGGTACACTAGGCTCTAAATGGTTAAATTGTAAAGCTGAGTTATAGTTACTGTGTAGAAATATGATCTGATCACTCAAGATTCAAAAACTTTGTAATTTAAAGTATTGTTTTTACCATGTAATTGCCAGCTATAATTTCAGTCCATGAACAGATATTACATAATTTAAGTTTACACAAAATGTTCTTAAATTATTTTATGAAGAAAGCAGTCTTCTGGGATTTGGCACCGTGTATATGTGGTGTTAACCGACGTTTCGGAGGAACGTATCGCCCCCATCTTCAGGGTTGAAGAAAAAGTATAAGTAAATCTGCAAGCGACANTATGTTCAGAAAATTTTGTACAGTACCCTGGATAAGGCCGATGCACACCCTGAGAGGAACAGACTCCCTGTTCAGAACTGCTGCTCTAAGATGTCGATGCGCAATCTTACTGGTTAATTTAGGGTTCTACCCAAGCAATTATCTGAACTGAATAAGGAACACATATGCACACAGCACACATACACATACACACCCACAACACATGCAGATTAATGCACATTTGCATTCATCCACCTGTGAGCATGGCAGAAATGGAAACAAAATAAATGTTGACTTCTTGGGTTTTGTTAGTACAAAAGAACAAAAGCAAATTCCTTCAGATTATTTAAACTGAATTATTCTGTACAGTCATACCTGTGCAGCGTTTCCCAATTGCTTTAGATTTGTAACCGGGATGACAGAAACATCGATATGATCCGAAGAGATTCTCACAAATCTGTGTGTAGTGACATCTGTTAGTGCTTCTATCTTGACATTCGTCTATGTCTGCAATGATACAATTATGTCATATAAAATATGTTCTCGAGTTCAAAACCTCATTCAGGAGGAAATTAAGAGGAGACTGAACTCAGGTAATGCTTGCTACCATTCAGTCCAGAGCTTTTGTCTTCTCAACTGCTGTCCAAAAACATAAAAATTAGAATATAGAAAACTATAATTTTGCCTGTGGTTCTGTATGAGTGTGACTGAGGGTGTGACCGGGCCATAGCTGAAGCGGTTAGTTGCTGGCTTCCCAATGCAGCAGCCCTGGTTCGATCCCAGGTCTGATCAAGTGGGATTTGTGGTGGACAAAGTGGCGCAAGGGTGGGTTTTCTCTGAGTACTTCTGCTTCCCCTGTCAATCTTCATTCCACAAAAAAATCCATCATCATAATCACCTGGGGCAGGTTACAATAGGCCAATCAGTGGCCGCCATGCCGAGTAGACCCAGCTGGACTCCACCCCCCACTAAGCGAATTAAAAAAAAAATTAGACTGAGGGTGTTGAGGAGAATATTTGGACCGAAGAGAGATGAAGTGACAGGAGGTTGCAGAAAACTGCACAATGAGGAGCTTCATAACTTTTACTCTTCTCCACGTATAATTAGAATGATCAAGTCAAGGAGGATGAGGTGGACAGGGCATGCAGCACGAATGGGGAGAAGAGAAATGCATATAGGATATTGGTGGTAAAGCCAGAGGGAAAGAGACCACCGGGAAGACCAAGGCATAGGTGGTTGGACAATATTAAAATGATCTTAAGAGGACACAATGGGATGGTGTGGATTGGATTGATCAGGCTCAGGATAGTGACCAGAGGAGGGCTCTCGTAAACATGGTAATGAACTTTCAGGTTTCATAAAATGCAGGCAAGTTCTTGAGTAGCTGCCAAGTTGGCGGCTTTACAAGAAGGGCTCAGTTCCATGAGTGAGTGAGTGAGGGTAGGGTGAGACTGAGTCTATTAGGTGCATCAGGTAATACTGGGTCGATCGTACCTGTCCCAGGTAATGAAAACGATAAATGAGTTTGGAGCAGTTGGTGGAATGAGAAACAGCAGAGGAAACAGAATTTTTACTCCTTATTCATTGTCTCACATGCAAAGTTGTGTTAAAATTTTAAAATTTGCCTTTTTTTAATTTTAAAATTATTTCTCACATCACTGGTGCACTGCATGTTTCAACTCATATGGTCATCAAGTGTTTCAAAAGTTGTTGAGAACTGCTGCACTTCCACACACATATATATATACAGTTCCAAAGTATACCCTCGTTTATGCGCCCAGATGTTGTACGTTTATATTGCTGTGTGTAGCTGGGTGCATAACTGAGATTATACTTCAGAACTGTGTACACCGATGAAAGTGCATCAGTTTTCAACAGCAATTTTCGAACCACCTGATGATGACCATGTCGGTTGAAACATGCAGTGAACTAGTGATGTGAAAAATAACTTGCATTTTATGATCTTAACGCAAGTTTGCGCGAGATGATGCATAAGAAGTGAAAATAAGTGACATATAACAGGATGCTGCAGAACAACATTATGAAACAGAAGTAACTGAAGACAACTTTCCCCAGTACCACTTTGTCCATCAAATCCCATGTGACCTGGCTTGGACAGAAACTGGATTGCCATGGTGGAAAGCTGGTGACTAGATACTTGAAGTGTGGTGTGGGCAATTTTCTCCTTAGTGTAATGTTGGATGATTTCTGTGTATTTTTATGCACAAGTTACAAAATGCTGCAAGAAATACTGTGTGTTCAACACTTTGCAAAATTATAGTTGTGATTTCCTTGAAAATATGGAAATATGTAAGAGCTCACAAAAATCAGTTTTGGAGTCTGGTATGTATGTTGCTGATAGTTAAGATAATGCCAAATTGCATTCACCTGTCTGTTCATGTGCTGATTGTGCTATATCCAGCCAGCTTATTATACGTACATTATGTTCTGATGGCCGCGCCACAGCTCAAGCGGTTAGTCGCTGGCTTCCCACTATGGCGGCCCGGGTTCGATCCCAGGTCTGGTCAAGTGGGATTTGTGGTGGACAAAGTGGTGCTGGGGCAGGTTTTCTCACAGTACTTCGGATTCCCCTGCCAATCTTAATTCCACCAATTGCTCCACACTGGTCAAGTGGGATTTGTGGTGGACAAAGTGGTGCTGGGGCAGGTTTTCTCTGAGTACTTCAGTCTCCCCTGCCAATCTTCATTCCACCAATTGCTCCACAATCACCCTCACCTATTATCATTTTGGGCTGGTACAATAGGCCAGAAGTGGCCGCAGTGCAAGGGACTTAGGCCACCCCACTAGCAATAAAAGAAAATAATTATGTTTCGATTATTTTCCATGAAAATGGCGGATGATAACATAACTTTTAAGATGAGACTAAACTCAGCATATGAGTATTCAAAGTTACTAGTAGCATTTACTTCACTTTAAAGGAGAGACAAAGTTGTCGATTTCATTGTACAGTGCAACAGATGCTGTAATATGAAACTTACCTCTGCAGTGTAAGTGCAGCTCATCACGGGTAAAACCCTCTGGGCATTTGTCACTGTCAAACTTCTTTCCAATTACAGTGGACATTATGTATGTCATCTCTTGTAGCTCAGGATTGTAGTCTACATCAATATCTCGTGCAGAGAGCTTCTCCACAAGGTATCTAATGACATGAAACAATAAATTAAATTGGATGTACTTGATGTCCCATAGAGTTGTCATTTTAAAACAGAATTAAGATTTAATTTAAAATTATATTCAATAATATAATATACCACGGACAATAAGAAATGCTGATGATAGAAGAAGGCTGGTACCAGCAAAACTGTATTTCATGAGCAGGGTTGGAGCAGGAAGACGCCCTTTCAGGGCATAAAAAGTGTGAAGAAATTATGAAAGAACCACAAGTTCCACAAGTAACAGTATTTATAGAACAATCCAGAATAAACTGGAAAGGCCATGATGGAGAACGGGCTCTAACAACACTAAGAAAAGACCTTAAAATATCAACAAAAAGGAAAAATAAGTTAGGAAAACCTTTTAAATGATGGAAGGATTCTATGCTGTAATATCTGTAAGTGGTCTCAGTAGAATTCATATTGAAAAGGATTATGATGATAATGACAAAATTAATAATGCTAAAATTATCTCAAGAAAGTGTGCAGAAATATGTACACCTCCTTCTGCTGTCAGTAAAATAATGCAGAAACATTATATCATGTTTTATAATTGTGCATCTTATTTCAAACTGGTCATTCTGTACATGGAGAATAAAGGCCACATTCCTTCATGAGGAGAACAAAATACATATTAGCTTCATAAATAAAATTAATTTAAATTTATGTGCAGTTCTACTGTTAAACAAGAACAAACTGTGCTTCATATGACTGATGCTGAGGCAATCTGGAGCTTGGACCCAGGTGGGCGCAGGTCTCTTGCCATTGGTTTCAAATGTGAAACATGAAAACATCTGACTACATTACATGGTACTGCCTTCACTCATACATACATGGATCTGTAACCAATAACTTACTTCTTAATGGTGATTCACAAGCAAGGATGGAGCTCTCTTCCTGTGTAACGGATGATATACAGCACCCACTGAGTAGCTCATCAACAATATTTGTTGCATACATTTCCTGTCATGTTTATTTCAGTTCACAGTTTTAATTCTCATCAAACCACAACTCCAACTAACTAGAATTACTGGGTTTTTGGACTTTTCCGTTGTCTGGTATTCTAGAAACTAGAAAACCCAAGTTTTCAGAAACTGGCTCTGTTTCTGTCCTCAGGTGGCTCCCACCCCCTCACCTGAGGATGGAAACAGATGCTGTTCCCAAAACACTGTTTTCCAGTTCTTAGAATACCAGACAAAGGACAAAGTCTGAAGACCCAGTAATTCTAAGTGTTATACACCCTTTAGGACCTACTTCCAACTAACTGACTGACTGAATGCCCAACCAACTAACCGACGGACTGACTACTGACCAACCAACCAACCAACCAACTAACTTCATTGAGATGAGTCCTTCTTGAAAAGCCACCAGTTACTCAGCTACTCAAGAATTTTCCAACATTTTATGGAACATGAAAGTTCATTACCATGTTCACAAGAGCCCTCCAGTGGTCCCTGTTCTCAGCTAGATCACTCCAGTCCATATCACCCAATTCTATCTTCCTAAGATCTACTTTAATATTATCATCCTACCAACATCTAGGTCTTTATAGTTATCTCTTTCCTTCTGACTTTTCCAACAAATATCCTATATGCATTCCTCTTCTCCCCTATGTATTCCACATGCCCTGTCCATCTCATCCTCCTTGACTTGATAATTCCAATTATACTTGGCAAAGAGTACAAGTTATGGAGCTTTTCACAATGCAGTTATCTTCAACTTCCTGCCACTTCATCTCTCTCTGGTCCAAATATTCTCCTCAGCACCATCTTCTCAAACACCCTCAGTATGTATTCCTCATTTAATATCAGAGATGAAGTTTCACACCCATAAGAACCTTATCAAACCATTACAAACATAAAACAGAGAAACACATAAAGCTCAGATTGTGGTCTTCTGGACTGTGACATCATGTAGTACTGTAACTGAACATCAATGTTTAAGAGGAACATGTTGCTTCCATCTTCAGGGTCAAAGTGAGTGTGATGAGATGTGGTCACATTATAGGTGCAAGTTTCAGTAAAAATGGTCAGTAAATCCACCAGAGGGGGTAAGAAGATGCAACTGGGTGAATGAACAGGAAATGCAAGTGCTAAATCTTGTCTCTGCACCCTGATGCACCATACTGAATTCAACCTGAACATGGAGGCCATATGTTCCTCTAAATCACTGATAGTCATCTTCAGTTCTACACTCTATCATAAACAAAAGACCACGAGCTGAACACTTACAGCTGTGAAAATGTGCAAAGCTGGCTGGTCCAGGAAAATTAAAACTGTAAATGTAGGTTTTACCAAATTTCACGAAGTTTGTTCAAAAGTTTGGTCTTCTGAGTACCATAAATACACCAGCAAAAATGTTGCAGTTGATATTATCTGCAATTAATATCTATACTCACTTTTATCAAGTAATTTAATTACTAAATTTCATCAGAATCTGCAATGAACCTATTATGGTGATTTGCCATGTCATTATGGAGCAAAAATCTAACATTTTTGACATCATCATGTCCACATCATTGAATTGAATTGAATTGTATTTATTTACATTCTATAAATCCTAAGCAGGTTAGTACCTTTGGATACAGAACAAGTCAAAAGATTACATACATAAGTACAGGCAATTTTAGCTTAAAAATTAATATAACTTAATTTTACATCATTCTCTATTTACATTGAAGTATTCATCTAAAGAGTAGAAGGAATGAGCATGTAGATAATTCTTTAACTCTGATTTAAACTTTTTAGTATCATTGCCCAAGTTTTTAATACTTTGTGGCAGATTGTTGAACACTTTTATGCCAGTAAAGTAGACTCCTTTTTGATATACTGATAAAGTTGATGAGGGTAGGTGGAAGTTATATTTTTGTCTAGTATTCATGTTATAGACATCAGAATTTAATTTGAATTTATCTTTGTTGTAAACAACAAATAAGAGAAGCGATAATATGTATTGCGATTGAAGAGGTAGAATTTTTAATTTCTTAAATAATTCTCTACATGAATCTCTACTTCTACATCCTGTAATGATTCTAATTATATTCTTTTGTATTTTAAAAATTATTACACTATGTGAAGAGTTCCCCCAAAATATTAATCCATAGTTCATAATAGAATGAAAGTAGGCATGGTAAACCATCTTCAATGTTTCCTGTGACATAAAAGGCTTAATTGATCTCATCGCATAGCAAGCTGCATTTAATTTAGGTATAATTTGTTCAATATGTATTTTCCAAGACAGTGTACTGTCTACATGTATTCCAAGGAATTTTGTATCAAGTACTTTACAGATTAATTTGTTGGCATAACTGATGTCCAGATCAATTTGGTGGTTGTTTTTAGTTGTGAATGATATGTAATGGGTTTTATCAAAATTTAATGAGAGTAAATTGGCTTCGAACCATCTGTTTAAGGCTTCAAATACAATATTTATGTCATTTTTAAAGTTTTCAAATTTAGAGTTCTTAAATATTATACTAGTGTCATCTGCATATAGAATTGGTTTAGATTTATTGTTGATGGTTTTAGATAGATCATTTATGTAGAGAAGAAAAAGTAAGGGACCTAAAATTGATCCTTGTGGAACACCGTGCTTTATAATTCCCCAGTTTGAAAATGCATTATGACTGGAGTTTTTATTATTTATTTCAACTCTTTGATACCTGTTTTTGAGGTATGATTTGATCCATTCATTAGCTTTGCCAGTTATTCCATAGAAATTTAATTTCGATAGTAAGATATCATGATTAACACAATCGAAAGCTTTTGCTAGATCACAGAAAATCCCTCCCACAATTAATCTGTCATTGAGAGCACTTAAAATATCGTTAGTTAGTTCATAGGTTGCTTTTTCTGTTGTTAGGTCTTTCCTAAATCCAAATTGCTCTTTGACTAATATGTTGTTAGAATTTAAGTGTTCAAGTAGTCTATTATACATAACTTTTTCAAAGACTTTTGAGAATGAAGTCAATATGGATATTGGTCTGTAATTAGAGATGCATTTTCTCTCTCCTTTTTTAAAAAGTGGTTTCATTACAGCGTATTTTAAGCGTTGAGGAAAAGTACCTGATGATAAAGATTTATTACATAGATGATTCAAGGGTGAACTGATGTAAACAGAGCTTGCTTTAAGTAATTTGGTAGAGATTTCATCATATCCATGTGAATTTTTGGGCTTAAGGGATTTAATAATGTTTTCAATTTCCTTCCTTGTTGAGAATTTGAGATTGATATTTGGAAATGAATTGTTAAAGGCACGAGACAGATAGTATATTGGATTATTATTATTTTTATTATTATTATTGGAATATGTTTTTTCAGCTAATGAAAGGAAATATTCATTAAATGCACTTGCGATAGCTTGTGGATTGTTAGTGGACTTCCCTTCAATATTCAAACTTTGTACGTCTTGAAGAAAGTCGTCTTCTGGGTTTAGGCACCGTGTATTCTTCGTTTTGGCCAACGTTTCGGAGGAATGTAGCGCCCCCATCTTCAGAGCAGTTGAATGGCTTGGAATGCATTCCAAGCCAAGAATACACAGTGCCTAAACCCAGAAGACGACTTTCTTCATTGTCATCGCCGTGAAAACCTCAAAACTTTGTACGTCTTCATTAACAGATTTCTTTCCTGATTCAACGTTCACAATATCCCAGGTGGTTTTAATTTTATTGTTTGATTTTAGAATTTGGCTGTTATAGTTATTCTGTTTGGCTTCTTTAATGACTTTTGACAAAATTTTACAGTACATTTTGTAGTGACTTTTTAGTCTTGGATCATTACTGTCCCTACTGGCCAAATATAGTTGTCTTTTGTGTTTACATGAAGTTTTTATTCCAATTGTTATCCAGGTGGATTTGTTTTTATTTTCATTTTTGACTATTTTTAAGGGAAAGCTTGAATAAAAGATCCTCAAGTATGTGTTCAGAAAGCAATTAAATTTAGAATCAATATTATTGCTGTCAAATACATTGTCCCATGATTCATTACTT